AGTCGGCGATCTCCGCCCACCGACCATCTGATCACTCGCCGCAGGTCTATACGTGGCGAGTGATTAGATAGCAGAGAGAGCGTAGTGTTGAAGAGGGCACAGCGATGAGAGTCGCATCAATGCTCAAATCAACGGGCAAGGAAGGGGTCCCATTTCTCGGGTTCTGGGCCGTTTCTCATGGTTTTTCCTTCTTTCGGGCTTCCACATGGATCGGCGAACACCGCGTTATCAACCGATAAGGTCGGAGATAGATAGTGGTTGGACGAGCGTAACCCTATGGAAGATACGATACGATTAGATAAGAAGATACGGCTGCTTGGAATGAGGTGCACTCTAGCATGAAAATCGAACGATAACGATAGCCGCACCATATCAAGCATGTTGTTACCCCTTCCCAGCTCATACGGAGCTGGGAAGACGAATTAGACGTGGGTTTCGGCGCCTTATCACGCCTTTGATAAGGCGCCACGGACCATTTCTTTTAGGCATGAAATATTATTCGACTGTCGAATTATTCTGGCATTCAATGCATGGCGTTAATTAACGAACACGATTTGAGCTAGATATTCCACCGAGCTATCAAGCAGACTGTCAGGAAGCACATTTCACGAACAACTTATTGGTTACCAGGTGGAGCCTAGCGCTCCACAAACTGCCCATTTTCACCGAAGCCTGTGTCATGCGCGCAGTAGCGTGCGGAGTCAGACTGGTTACATATAACTCAACAAAGAAAATCTGCTGCACAGTCGCTGACATGAAGCAACTCCAATATTTTGTCGAAAATCCTCGGAACTCATTGATACGTAAACCGAGTCTGAACCTGGGACCAGTTAATTCACTTTATCGTGAGACATCAACATCTTCCATTCGTTCATATCCGCAGCTCTTTCCACAGACGCTTGGTGGCTCGTTTCGTAGTCACTCTAAAATGCTCGCTTCAGGCGATATAAGGGGCATCCCATGCTTTGAAACCACTCTTACATGTGAAAGGCACGATGCGAGTTATTGCACAGCTGAAATACAAAGGTAGCGTCGTACAGCTGCCATGCCTCTGGAAATACAACATTTTCTAGAATCGGAAAGCATAGGTCTTTCTTCGTTACTGGTCCAGTAGCATAGCCACATCTTAATTTCGAGGCAACCATAACCCAGAGTGATTCATAGTTGGCTGCTGATGCTTTAGATGAAAACGTTTCCCCTCTAGATCCCGTACCTTATCTCCTTGTCAACCATCACAAAATTATAACATTGAAATACCGAGCAAAGTAATACAACTGCGTTTCATAAATATAGGTCCACCCTAATTTTTTGCTATTCCAA